TTAACGCCATCCATGACCTCTTTGTCTCCCGCTCCCTCAACCTCCTGGCGATCACCGAAACCTGGATCAAAACCACAGACTATCTCTCCTGCAGCACTCTCCTATGGAGGACTCACCCAGACCCAGCGGTCGGAAAGGTGGAAGGGTTGGTATGCTCCTGTCACCGCAGAGCACCTTCCAAGTCCTCCCAAACCCTCCCCCTCTATCGACTATTCTCTCCAATTTCCCTGAGGATCGCAGTAATCTATCATTCCCCTGGACCCATATCCTGCTTCCTTGACGACTTCTCCGCCTGGTTAACCTTCTTTCTCTCCTCCGAGCTGCCCACCATCATCCTTGGAGACTTCAACATCCCTACCAACATCAATATCCCGGCCACATCCCAACTCCTCCACCTAATCTCCTCTTTTGCACTCGCACAGTGCATACAGTCCTCCACCCACTCTGACGGGAACACCCTGGACCTTGTTTTCTCTCCCCCCACAACCTCACAAACACCCCTTTCCCCCTCTCTGACTACAACCTCATCACCTTCTCCGTATCCTCGTCCTCTTACATCTACCCCCCCAAACGTCAAACCAGCCGTAACCTCCGCAACCTGAACCCTGCCCCCTTCCACTCTACAGCTGACCAACTTTACGACAGTATCCTTCCTGTGTCCTGCCCTGACCTGGCCACTACTGTTTATAACAACAAGCTGTCAGCCGCTCTTGACTTCCTAGCACCCCTAACCACAGGAAACATTAGACCCCGACTGCTTCAACCCTGGCAGAATGACCATACCAAAAACCTCAAGCGACACAGCCGCACGCTAGAGCGACTATGGAGCAAAACCAAATCCCAGCAAGCGTTCACCCGATATAAATCCGCCTTCCCCACCTACACTTTCTCCCTCCATGCTGCCAAGCAAGCCTACTTTGTAACCCTCATCAATACCCTCTCCTCCAGCCCTCGCTGGCTCTTTTCCACCTTCAACTCCCTGCTCTCTCCGCCCCCCCCCTCCACCCAGTACCTCACTCACCGCCCACGAGATTGCTAACCACTTCCAAAGCAAGATCGACGCAATTCGCAGGGACATCACCACTGCTCAGACTTCCGACCCCACCTAGCATCCCTCACACGAGAACCCCCTCAACACTCCTCTCCCTCCACCTCGCCACTGTCTAGACCTCCACTCCGCCCAACATTCCTCAACACTCCACTCCTTCGACCCCGTTACCACCGAAGAGGTCCCTAAGGTCTTCTCTGAAGCTCGCCTCACCACCTGCCCCCTTGACCATGTCCCCACACAACTCCTACGATCACCCTCCTCCTCCATCCTACGCTCCCTCACTCACATCTTTAATCTCTCCCTCTCTACTGGCACATTCCCCTCCCCTCTGAAGCACTCGCACATCACTCCCATGCTTAAAAAACAATACCTGGATCCCACCGACCCAAACAACCTTAGACCTATCTCCCTGCTGCCATTTTCATCCAAACTCCTTGAGCGCTTAGCCTATAATCGCCTAAGCTCCCCCCTACCTCACCGACAAACACCAACCTCCCGCCAAAGCCAATGATTCCCTTGAATCTGGCTTCCGTCCCCTACACTCCACTTTCCTCAAATGAAAACCTTGCCAAAAAGCGAGCTCCTAGTTTTTGGGGTCCCCCAGCCCGCTCCCCCCCCCCCCCCTTGGTCACTAGTACTACCAGGTGTCATTCTAGACTCCAATCTGTCTTTCCAACCCCAGATCCAATCGCTGACAAACTTCATCTGTCTTTCAGACTCTACCTTCCGCAACATCTCCAAAAAATACGCACGTTCCTAACTCCAGAAACTACAAAGCAACTCATTCACTCCCTTATATCACAACTTGACTACTGTAACTCCCTCCTCGCCGGCCTACCCCAACAGAGGCTAACCCTGCTTCAGTCTATCCTGAATTCTGTGGCCAGACTCATCCACCTTACCAACCGCTCCGTATCCACCACCCCCCTCTGCCAATCTCTCCACTGGCTTCCGATTGCCCAACGCATAAAATTCAAAATACTAACATTGACGTACAAAGCTGTTCATAACACTGCCCCAAACTATATCACCGACTTGATATCCATCTACCACCCAAAACACTCCTCACAAGACCTCCTACTCTCCAGTTCCCTGGTCTCCTCCTCCCCCATGCCTGTCTCCAGGACTTCTCCAGGGCTTCCCCCATCCTCTGGAACTCACTACCCCAATCCATCAGACTGTCACCTACCCTCCTAACCTTTAGGCGCACCCTGAAAACCCATCTCTCCAGAGAAGCCTACCCCGCCATCACCTAACTGCTGATCTCCTCTGCTCTCCCCACCACTCCATCCCCCACAGCTATTTCCTCCTGTACCACTCACCCCTCCCTCCTAGATTGTAAGCTCCAAGGAGCAGGGCCAAGGAGCAGTATTTTATTGTATTGTTATTGTACTGTCTCATGTATTGTCTCCCAGTGTAATGTACAGCGCTGAGCAAACTGTTGGCGCTATATAAATGCTGTGTAATAATAATAATAATCATGGCTGCAATCTCCTATTCCTGTCAATTTCCACATTGACAGCTACAGTCATGCAGGAAGAGGAAGAAGAGGAACAGAGGAGAAGACGCAGATATTGGATACATCCAGTGATAGCCAATAGACAGCAGAGAGGACAATCTTGGATCATGTATAACGAACTGAGAGCACATGAGGACACATTTTTTCCGATACACACGAATATCTACAAAAAGGCGAGCACAAGTTTAGAACTTTTCCTGCAGCTACAAATGTGTGTCTTAACATCCCCCTCCTGCTACCACCCCTCATTTCCTTTAATTTTTGGGGGGCTTATGCTTTCTTGCTTTGTGTTTCTTCTCTTGTTTTTCTGCTTTTCACCTTTTTTTTTTTTTTTTCCTTTTTTTTTTTTTATTCACTAACCCTTTTTTCTTTTAACAGTTTTGATAAATTGCTGGGTCTACTCAGCAGCAAATTGGAGCAGCAAAAAAAACACATTCTACAGGGACTCCATCCTACCAGTAGAAAGGCTTATGATCACATTAAAGTGTTTATACGCTAAACTGTACAAGTAATAATGACAATATATATTAAATTGCAAAAAAAAAAAAATTTTATTTTATTTTTTTACATACACTTTTGTGCAATAAAATAATAAAATACAATAGATCTTTAGAACAACTTTTTTTCTGAAACTCTTTTTTAAGTTTTGTTTTTTTTTTTTAGAAAGAAACACAAAATGGCATTGTTATGACATAAAACTGTACAAAACATAAAAAAAATCTACAGGGTCTGATAAACTCGTTCCTCCTGCTGCTCAAGGTACTGGGACTGGGGCTGAGGCTGTGTAGGTTACATGTATCTCTGGGGAGCACTGGCAGGTGAATGCATTGGGCACCGGCTTTGTCCTTCCGGCACAAAACAGGACACAGGTGGCCCTGGTGGTGACATGAGCTCCATAGGTGTTCTTCAATGCATGATAGCCATATTGTGGCGAGTGATACTATGGCCGTACAGAACTTTGGTAAGCACCATGTATTGGGTATTACACATAAGAGGCCAGAGGTGGTGTCTGCTGGGGCAAGATTGTAGGTGGGGGTGGGTTAACAGAGGGAATGAAGGAGGTCAGGCATTGCATCACTGCAATTCTCATCTCCCCCTGTCTTTCAAGAGAAACTTGATCAACAAATGGGACTAGTGTGTGTTACGTACTGCTGGGATAAAGACATTTGGTGTTTAAATAGAGCTACTTGATCAACAAATGGGACTAGTGTGTTTACGTACTGCTGGGATAAAGACATTTGGTGTCTAAATAGAGCTACCAGGTCATTTAATGTATCCATCATTTTTGCACTTTTACGTTGAGTCATCCTTCTTGATGCTCCTTCCCTCTGAGATGTAGTTGGTGTTGCAGCAGGCCTGCTCAACTCTCTTCCTCTACCTCCTCCTCCTCCCTCATCTCCTCTGTCACCCTGGATATGGGTGAACCAGTAGTTGAGGTGTCCAGGGGTGTTGAAGGACACTCCCCAGGGTCCTCTGCACATGCTTGAGATTCCCAACTGCTCTCAGTGCTGCAAATACAGGAACAAGGAACATTAGAAAATTCTAAATATTAATTATATTTCAAACAAAAATGATTGTAGTGATGCTATGATCCTAGCTTACCTTCTCATCTCTAGGATTGGTTTGAGGAACTCTAGGTCCTTAGTAAATTGGTAGGGGGTAAAATTTGATGCACCACACCCCACTCCTTGCTTGCCGTTCCATACGCAGCAATTGTCTTTACATTTTAGGAAAAATTTTCCGCCTCCCGCCCGCCATATAAGGTAATGATGGGCACAAGGCTGTTCTCTCGTTCTGGAAGGACGTCATATGACATCCTCCCACTCTAACCGCTCATGCACAGCTCTGGGAGTGCGCAGTGTGGCAATCGGTTGTGCGCTATGTCCCTCGGATGCAGCGGATCACTGATCAATGGAAAGAGCTGAAGATATCAGCCTGGTCATGTGATCAGCTGTGTGATCAGCTGATCACATGTAAATAGGGAAATGCCGGTTACTGGCATTTCTCTCCTCATGAGCTGTCACGCTGACAGCTCGAGAGGAGAGGAGAGCCGGTAATCGGCATTCCTCGAAGGGGACATCTTCACTGATCATCAGGGCACTGATGATCAGTGTAGCCTCAGCAGTGCCACCTGTCAGTGCGCATCAATGCCAGTTGTCATTGCCCATCAATTCCCCCTGCCAGGGCCCATCAGTGCCTCGTCAATGCCACATATCAGTGCCTACCAGTGCAAATCAATGCCACATACCAGTGCCCATCTGAGCTGCCTTTCAGTGCCAGTCAGTGCCACCTGACAATGCCAATCAGTGCCACTTATCAGTGCTGCCAATCAGTGCCACCTATCAGTGCCAGTCAGTGTCGCCTATCAGTGCCAGTCAGTGCTGCATATCAATGCCCGCCAGTGCTACTTATCAGTGCTAGTCAGTGCTGCCTAACAATGCCAGTCAGTGCCACCTAGCAGTGCCACCTATCAGTGCCATATATGAGTGCTGCCTTTCAGTGCCCATCAGTGATGCCTGTCAATGCCCATTAGTGCCACCTACTAGTGCCTCCTCATCAGTGCCCATCAGTGAAGCCTATCAGTGCCCATCACTGCAGCCTCATTAGCGCACCGTAGTGAAGGAGAGAAATCACTTATTTACAAAATGTTATAATAAAAAACTAAGAAAAACATTTTTTTTTTTCAAAATGTTCAGTTGTTTTTGGTTTAGCAAAAAATAAAAAACCCAGAGGTAATTAAATACCACCAAAAGAAAGCTCTATCTGTCTCAAAAAAAATATAAAAATTTCATATGGGTACAGTGTTGTCATTCAAAGTGCAACAGCTCTGAAAGCTGAAAACTGGCCTGGGCAGGAAGGGGGTATAAGTGCCCTGTAGGCAAGTGGTTAAGATAATAAAAAAGTCATTATATTTTGGACTTGTGTGTGCGTTTTGTTTTTGGTAATCAGCAAACATGAGCTACACTTAATCCAGATAGTACTCACTTTTTTTTCCTCTCTGTTTCTTGGTAAAGGAATCCCAATTGCTAGAATAGAGTTCTTTGGCAATTTCCACCCATCCCTGTTGCTGCTTATAGCAGGGCTATATAGATAAGCTTGGGTGCCTCATCAACTGTATGAGCACCTCAGTTTGCACCATGTTGCCTTGTCTTGTATCCGACTTCCTGGTTTGCAGAGCAGCATGGGAAGTCTGTTGTTAAGGGGAGGCGTTAGTAGTGAAGCATAAAATACAAAAACACAAAATACATCAAAAACGCACCAAAAACGCAAGCAAAATGCAGCACTTGTGTTTTGTATGCAGTTCCATTGAAGTCTATTGGATCAAAAACGCAAACTGCAACGGGAAAAGAAGTCCCTGACCCTTTCCAAAAAGTGCACCCACAAATAATGCATAGATGTGAACGTGATCCATAGGAAATCATGTTAAATAGCATGCACTGCGTTCCCGCAAAACGCATAACAAAAATGCGGATATGTGAACCAGGCCTAAGATGTGAATTTGAAAGAGTAGGTAAGCAAATTTGTGATAAAAATGCTTGTATGTTTTCCATAGAAGGTTCAAGAGTGGAGTTGTCTTGATTTAGGTTATAAAGCGAATCATAGTAACTAGCAAATTAATTTGCTATTTCTTGATGATTAGTGATTTTAGTTTTATCTTTTAGGTTGATAAGATATGGTATTTTAGTTCTAGTATGCAGGGATTTCATTTTTTTCGCTAGGTATTTCCCTGCTTTGTTTCCATTAGAGTACTAATTGAGTTTTAATCTTTGCTTACTTCTATCAAATTGGTACATTAGTAAGCAGTGTACTTCGTTCCTTAGTCTGGAAAGTGTATTTGCGGTGGTTTGAACGATTTGAGCTTTATTTAGTGTTTCTAGTTTGCGAATATCCTATAGTAAGTCATAAAGCTGTTTAATTCTTTGCTTTTAAGCTTTAGCGCACATTTGTAAAATTTTACCACGTATATAAGCTTTGTGAGCACACCAAAGGGTGCCAGAGTTTGATATAGATTGCGAATTTATATGGAAGAACTCCTCAAGATGTTTTTCAAGTATCAACTTATTGTTGGGTATTTTTATAATGGATGGATTTACGAGCCTGAGGTTGTGTGGTTATCCAAAATAGTAATTTAAACTGGCGCGTGGTCTGACCGTATTATATTGCTTATGGTTGACGTGGTAACATTTTTCAGTAGCCATTTATCTACCAATATAAGGTAAATTCTCGAATAAGAAAATAAGATTGATGTCTAGCCGAAAAAAAGGTGTAATCTCTTTCACCTGCATGTTGACACCTCCAAATGTCATAGACATCTTCATTTATTAGAAAGGGGTATATGGTTTGGGTAGTCTTTTTTGAGATTTTGTTGAGTCTAGGTTTCTGTCAACTATGAGATTGAAGTCACCGCATAGTGTAAGTGAACCAAAAAACGATCTTTGGAGATTAGTTTGAAGAGTAAAGTATCTTTTTTGATGAGCATTAGGTGCATGAATTTACAATAGTGTAATCTGTATTATCTATTGTACATAGAAGAATCAGGTACCGGCCTTCGGGGTCTGAGATATTTTTATGAAGAGCAAAGTTTAGTGTATCTCTAATAGCATTGACTACTCTTTTTTTCAGAGGCATTGGCAGTATAGACATGTGGAAAAAGTTTTGTGTGAGCATTTAGGAGGGGCCGAATCTACGAAATGAGCCTCTTGAACACAGAGTATATCACATTTATCTTTAAATGCCTGTTTCCACATGTTTGTACATTTGGCCAGATAATTCAAGCCATTGACATGAATAGAGATAATTTTTATACCCATTGAATAGATATATTTACAGATATTAATCGGGCTTAACCAAGAGGCCTCTAAAGCAGTAAAACATTTTTATGCACGTCAGTTAAAACATTTAGACTATCAGGAATTACACGATAGTAGAAACAAAAAGGAAAAAAATAAACAAATACATATAACTGAACAGATAACAAATCAGTAAAAAATAGGATCTTGGCCAAGATCCGAACGCAATGCAACGCAATGCAAACTGCGTAGTACTTTTGGGGCAAAAACAAAGCAAGTGCACTTGCCGTTAGTAGGCATACTTACAGGTAGTGCATTCGGTAAGAGTAGTACCCTCAGTGCCTTGCTTAAACATGTGAAATTACATTTAAGCGGGGACCATGAGATAAGGTTGCAAATATAGAGTCAATGTTTAGTTTGGCATTTGTGAGTGACCAGGTTCCACTCTGGAGACGCTCTGGTGGGGCTAGAATGTTGTGGGTCGCTTTCTGGGAGAATGTCCCACTCTCTAAGACATTGAAGACCTTCCTCTAGGCTGTTGATTGTGATGATTAATTTAGTGGGGTGACCCCAACGATAAATCATTTTGTGCTTTTGTTTTGGGAGGAGATTTTTCCTGAGTTGCATGGTGTGCTTAGATAAATCTGTGAAAAGCTGTAAAGAGAAGAATTGTGCAGACAAATTTTGGGGTTTGCGAGCAAAAGAGTTCTTTGGTATATGCTCTTGGTCAGATTGTATCGATTCTGGAATGCCTCTTACTTTAATGTTGTTACGTCAAGATCTGAGACTTTATTTTTGAGCCATTCAATTTCTTCTTCCCTTTCGTTGTGGGTGTCTACTAGGGTGTTAAAGGAAGTGGAGTATTCTCCCATTTTTGTTTCAACATGGTCAACTCTGTCGCCAAGATCATTAATCTCTGATTTGATTTGTTGCATAGAGTTATTGATATCTGACTGTATGGACGATCTTAACCACTTCCATCCTGGGCACTTTTACCCCCTTCCTGCCCAGGCCAATTTTCAGGTTTCAGCACTCTCCCACTTTGAATGACAATTGCGTGGTCATACAACACTGTACCCAAACTAAAATTTTAAAAAAAATTTCACACAACTAGAGCTTTCTCTTGGTGGTATTTAATCACCACTGGGGTTTTTATTTTTTGCTAAATTAACAAAAAAAAACCCAACAATTTTGAAAAAAAAACACGTTTCTGTTATAAAAGTTTACAAATAAATTATTGTTCTTCATAAATTTAGGCCAAAATGTATTCTACTACATGTCTTTGGTGAAAATAACCCAAATTAGGATGTATTATTTAGTCTGTAAGAAAGTTATAGAGTTCACAAACTATGGGATTTATCTGAATATTGATCAATCCTGAAGTTCTGACAGCCAATCTAATTTCTTGAGGACCAAGAATGTCAGAACAGTACAGATATCCCCCAAATGACCCCTTTTTGCAAAGTAGACAGTCTGACGTATTACATAAGAGGCGTGGCGAGTTTTTTGAGGTTGTAATTTTTTTGTCATAATGTTTCGGAAATGAAGAAATAAAAAAAATGATTTTCACAATTTTATTTACATACTGTCACCAGTGCAGTACATTGTCATCATATAACTGGTATGGCGGTGATCAGGGACACTGACTGGTGATGGTACGAAAAAAAAAAAATGTGATAATTTAAAAAAAAAAAAAATAATAATTTTTTATTATTTTTTATTACATTTTTTTCTCTTTCTTTAAGATTTTTTTTCATATTTCCTATGACCAAAGTAGTATAATGTTACCATAGTAACATTGTACTACTTTGGGGAAGTGATCTTTTTTTTTTTTTTTTTTTTTTTTTACACAATTTGCTTATAGCAAAGAATTACTTTGCTATAAGCAAGCATTTACCTGAATGAAATCGATTCATTAAGGATTTTTTTTCTTAACTGTGATTTGGCCACATCTAATCACATGACACAGCTGGGCTGACCATTCACAGCTAGCCACACTTGTATACAACAGATGGCATGAAAGGAAGCCATCCGTTGTATACAACTGTCATGTGACCTGCTGTGATTGGTCACAGCAGGTCACATGGTACTGGCAACGGGCCGGTACACAGATCTGTCATCGGCTGTGTCCGAGGTACACGGCCGGTGACAGATTGCGCTGCTGCGTGGCTCTGCTGGCATGCAAACTGAGCATGCCTGAAAGGACGCCATATGGCGTCCACCCAGAGGGACGAAGGTTTTTGCCGGCCGCCATTTGGCCATAGGCCAGGTGGGAACTGGTTAATGAAAGAAGCATCTCCTTCATTAATGTATCAGAAATAGGCTGACTAGTAGGAAAGTTAGCCATTGGATCTGAGAAATTACTTGCAGAATGTGCCGTATTAGTGTGAGAATCTGTTCCAGCATGCTGTGGGTTAATATCTGTCATTCTAGGTTTAGATTTTGCTGGGTTCTCAATAGAGGAAGTAGAGAAAGTAGGGGAGACAGGCTGCATTAAGGTAGAGCTGTTTTTCTGTTTAACCACTTGAGCTCCTGAGGATTTACCCCCCTTAATGACCAGGCCTCTTTTTGCTACTCGGCGCTGCACTAATTCAACTGATAATTGCGCGGTCATGCAATGCTGCACCCAAACAAAATTTACGTCCTTTTTTTCACACAAATAGAGCTTTCTTTCGGTGTAATTTGATCACCTGTGCACTTTTTATTTTTCACGCTATAAACAAAAAAAGGCCAAAAAGTTTGAAGAAAAAACAATATTTTTTATTTTCAGCTATAAAAAATATATAGTAAACTCAAAGTTGGTTATAAATTTAGGCCAAAATGTATTTTGCTACATGTTTTTGGTAAAAAAAAATCCCAATAAGTGTATATTGATTGCTTTCTGTGGAAGTTATAGCATCTACAAACTATGGTATAAATACTGCAATTTACGCCATTTATCTGCTATACA